CGAATTACCGAATTACGCGAGTTGTTGTCGCGTGAACGCGGGCAAAACATTCCGTCGTTGTAACTAGCTACCGTCGAATAAAAGTCGAAGAGAGAACATCCGCCTTCATTATTTCAGCACCCGCTAACTACTAATCCTTCCGACATCGCGTGAACCAGCCCCTCTACCGAGAGCAGGGCTGAGCTGCCGGACGTGCGAGCGAGCCGTTCGGGCGGAGGGCCGGTTGTCCTCGTCGGCGAGACCACCGCTTAAAGGAATATTTAGTGTCGATACTTTTAGTGGGTACGGACCGCCGTACCTGGCGCCCAACTAGAACTTTGTGTTTTTCGTGTGAGCTGTCGGGTCTCGCCGGATCTGCCGAACGGTCGCCGAGGCGCGAAGGGTAAAACCTCATTTTGTGTCGCTGCACTCGATTAGTGAAACCGGCTGCACGAGCCGCGGGTGTAGCGTTACAGGCTATTTAAACTGGCCATTTAACCCTTGTACTGAAAAAGGAGGTCGAAAAATGTAAAGTTGCTATTTATTATTTAGATAACTCGATTTTTTAATTACTTTATTAATTACTTATTAATTACTTATTAATTACTTTATTATTTACATAACTCGATATGTGTTTAAGCAATAAACAATAGTAATATTATTTTATATTAGTAATACTTAATATTTCTGAGAAGTATATATTTAAACCTTTAAAATCCTTTTCGATACGTTTTGCTATTGTCATTTTTATTCTGAGTTACAGCTTATTTGTAATTTTTTGCATAAAGCTCATGATACTTTTGAACAGAAATGGTTTTCTGTTTGAGAGCTGTCGAATTTTTAGATACGAGATGTACACAATTTATAAGCAGAAGTGTCAATATCATTGTATTGTATGAACTTGTTCGAAATAAGTTTCGCAATCTTTACGCAGACGACTAGTCCGATTCGTACACGCAGACAGTGCGAGACAATTACGAGACTAAAGTGTATTCGCTAACAGGACGAAGCGTGCGCAGTACCCCGTCGCAATACAAACTACGTTTGCGAAATTTTGCTACAACTAATAAATAGAAACGCGCTCGGTCGCGGTTTTCCTAAACTTCGCTCTTGGTTAACTACGAAGTGCTACAAAAACAAACATATAAACAAAATAATGTTTTAAAGATGTGCAATTACAAGTTTATAAAATAAAAACAAATAAGATATAATGCCTCGTTAATAGGACGAGAACAATGATAATTATTGATAATTACAAAAATATATGAAATTTCTAAAAATATTCTTGGACTATTTGAGAACAAATATTTATATTGCTATACATTTCAGTTCAGTCGTTTGTACGCGGAAAACATGGAGATGCGGTGATCTATACAGTTTCGCGATATTTTATAGATGACGGCGAGAACGATCACAGCTCTTGAATAGGACGGAAAGAGAGAGAATATTCTTATCCATACGATCTGTACACGGTGATCTGACACGTGACTCCCCGTTATCTTACACCACCAACACATTGAATTGTCCGCGTTACCCTCGTAAACGGACCCGCATTTATCGAGCAGACGCAGAATCGGATTGATATTGTAAGAGAACAACCTCTTGCATACCAATCGGTTGATGGCTATTCGCAATCTCGTTAGTACCGTCATAATGACTGGCAGCTCGCAGCCTACACGACACGAACTCGAGCCAGTTGCGTCGGACGTACTTGAGGAATCGCAGCAGGCATGGAAGCTGATCTGATTGAAGAAATAGAAATACTTCTTAGAATTATGTTTCACATATTATGTTTATCTTAGTCCATATATGTGTAATATATACAATTTTTATAAATAAAAATAGTATAAAATTGTAAGAACATGTAAGACATAAGATGAACAAGTAAGATCGTAAGAACATATATATATTAGATATAAGATGTCTTTAATATATTTTTTACAAGTGTAGCTATCTGGGCTTAAATACATTCAAATTTTTTGGTTGATCGAAAAATTAATATATTTCACGTTTACCTTTATCGACAATAAAACAAAAAAAAACAAATATCTCGGTTAAAGTAAAATATGACTTAGTTATATATAAAAAAAACATTTAATAATATACTCTTAATTTATTAATAATTATGTGGCTTACATTTCAGTTTGGTAAATAATTTTTCTATTATAAATGCTGCAGGCTACAATATTTTGAAAACAAATAATTTGATCCACAAATTTTCTTTACTTATTTTGTAGATATTTTCTGTAGTTAATTTTATTGGACAAAAAATATTTTCGTTTCTTAATGAAGAATTATATTCATATATGTACTCTTACATGCACTTACATTTCATAATTCATGAGATAATTAAATATCATCTGTTAGAAGGACAGAAAAATAATAGACCGCCAATAAATCCGTGAAATTATTATTAAAATTATTTAAACACTTGATATACTGTACAAAATTATAGATAAAGGTATGCTGCAGTTTAAATGATTTTAGAAAAAAAAAATACTCACATACATACGCATTTTTTGAAGACATCAAACATTGTTGCATCAAACTTGAAGTTAACCATTTGTTCCAGAATTACTTCTACCAACACGTATTGCTTATCATCACAATCACTTATACTAAGATAAAAGAACAATTACTTTTTATTTACAATGCTCATTAGTAAATTTGTTATGTTTATTATAATTGTTATTTTATTCACTGTTATTGTAGATTTACCATCACCTTCTACTTTTAAATCAGCTTCCTGCGCATTGCTTATACGCTCACTAAGAGAATTACATATAGCAGGTTGAGAAACATTTTGCTTAAATTGCAATTAAGGAGATTATCATTGGCGACTTAGCTACAATTGAAAAATATGAGAAAAAGAATGTCATGGCCTTATTATATCGTTATTCATTATAAATAATTACTAGATTAATCGATTAACAGTATAACATTAAAATTTATTGCATAACTAACAAAATTAAAAAAACATTAACTTGTGGTATCTTGTACACATTATGTCTTGCATGCCAGAGTTTTATAAAACGTGACTGTTAATCGAAGGAATTTTCGATTCTATCTGCAAATTTTTCTGTTATTAAAACATACTGTAACATGACAACCAAGATTATGGTATTACAATGAATATAATGCGAGTTTACATGAAAATAAAACGAAAATTAAAGTATTTGTTTTGAAAAAAGTTAGAGTTTAATGAATAAAGAATTTAAAGAATAGAAAAAATAAAATAAAGATAATAGAAGAAATAAAAATATTTCTTGGAATTATGTTTCATATTTTACGTTTGTCTTGGTCCATATATGTGTAACATATACTATTTGTAGAAATTTATGTATTAATATAAAAATAATATTAGGTCCCACAAATAAAACTATAAACGAGAAAATATATACTTTCAGAAAGCAAATTTTCTTCTTTTGCGTTTTTTATTATATATACTAAAATATATGAAATAGAACATAAAATTAATATCAAATAATTGTATCTTTCATAAATGGAAATATAACATGAAATGAGATTAATATTGCGATTGGAAAAAAAGTTGGGATTAATTTTGATAATATTCAATGAATAAAAGGGGAATGATATGAAAGGAATTAAAGGGGAAAATTGCATGCCATTTTAATTTTATGGCTATCTATCGATTGTGAAAAGAAAAAGATAGTTTTCCCACAGAGTCTTACAAATATGTTTAAGCGATTAAAAGTATCCTGTCATACTTGTACCATTCAATGCACGTATTTTTTTAGAAATTGTAATGTTTATACGCGCGTACTTAATTCTCGTCCGTTAAATCTTCATCTTCGTCTGGCTTATCGTTCCAAAAATTATATTGAACATTTTCTTTTCTGGCTGATGTACGCAATCCACGTGACTTGCTCCGCACATTCTCTTTCGCAGCCCGCAGAGCCTCTTTCATGTGTTGCTGAAATTCTTGTCGACTTGGTTTCACAAAATATTGATTTTTAAATACAGCATCTGAAAAGTAACGCAACATGTAATAGTCATCGCTATACAGGGTGTCCCGAAACTACCGGATGTTATTTTAATGACAGATTCTTTAGGACATTTTAAAACGAAAACTTCCATACAAAAATGTCGAGGCTATAGTAGTTTTCAAACAGGAAGCGATTATATTTCACCAATAACAGGGCTGAGATTTCGCGCGCTCAGGCACGCCGAAATGACAAGTGATAAAGGTGCCACACGCAGTATAGAATAGTGGACACCTTCATGGTAATAATTGATCGACACTTTGATTAAGTTGAAATGTCATTTTTACTTGAATCATATTTAAGATATCTTACAACTGTTATTCATATAAAAAATATACTAATGCAATCCCCCATGGCGCATTGCGTCCAAGCACCCGGGGGCTTCCAAAAAATTGGTGTCGACCCCGGGGCTTATTTGTATTATTTGCACTGGATGAGGAGGGGCAACGGTGGAGACGGGCATACATGGACAGCAGGTCTTAAAGGATAGCAACCTTTGACTTTGAGAGACTGACAGTTGTACTATTTGGTACAGTAACATTGTTTCTCTCTGTAGTCGCCGTGCGCTCGGGATCGCGCCAGAGATGTCGCTTCTGAACGGCATCTCTGAGCGTTATCTAGGAAGAGGAGAGTGTCGTGAGCGTGGAGCGTTAGTTAGCTCAGTGGTTTAGAGCAGTCACCCGACAAACGAAAAACTCGGGTTCGAGTCCCGGCCTAGCAGGACCGCGCTCTCGATATTTTTCTCTTTCTAGAACGAAAAAAGATACGCAGATCTCGAACGCACGGCGTTCCGCCGCCACCTAGTATGCCCTCCTCCTTCTATGGTTCTAGAGAAGCAGCAAAACATATTATGACAATGTTGTTGTAAATTTATACAATAATCATATCGTAAAAAAATGACATTTATAGGAGCAACTTTATCACTTGTAATTTCCACGTGCCTGAGCGCGCGAAATCTCTCTTTTCGTTTAAAATGTTCTAAAGAATCTGCCATTAAAATAACATCCAATAGTTTCAAGACGCCCTGTATATGCAAATAAAAATTTCAAAAATCGTACCAAAAAATGGCCATTACAAGTCGTGCGTTATAGAATGACTTGTTTTCTTTATAGCCCTACCATGTTAAAGAGAGCGTCGTTGAATCTATTATGCTTTCCTAGCATAGTTTTAATAGCATAGTTTTAATAGCATGGTTTTTTAAGCATAAACTAATTGCTTCCTTTACATTAAATCCGTCGATATTACACAAATATTGCACCTACAGAAACAAATTTCCATTAGAAATAAAAAAGCAATACATAATGAAAATAAATTTCGTAATTACTGACAATGTATTATTTTGTAATAAGTCACAACCGTTTTTTTATAAATTTGATAATACGAATTTATATTCATCTAAGGAATACATTGTTACTGGAAATTTTATTCACATTACTTATTGCAAGAAGTTTGACATAAAATCAAAGTCTATGAAAAAATCGTGCTGTTAATCGCGACACTTTGAAGAACATTTTTTTATTCGTCGACATTTTAGAGAATTCATACGTTAGTGTTCAAACTGTTGCGGTTAGCAACACAATTTTATTAACAACACGTATGAAGTTTAATTCTATTTCAAATTTGTTGCAATAAATAACATTAATGAAATTTTGCGTAATAACATATTGCTTAGCATGAATACGAACTCGTTTCATCAATCTTATCACGAAAAACGGACGCAATTGTTACAAAATAATATATAATCACTAATTGCAACGTTTGTTTTTCAAAAATAATAGCGTGCGTGCCTTTGAGTGCATATGTAATATACTTCAATTACTTACAATGTTTTTGCAACAGTTATTGCATTAATCAATAGAGAAATTTGTGTAAATAAATATGACAGAGATGTAATAACGATACATTTTTATTTTTAACTTACAACGTTGGAGTATTTATTTTCATCGAAATCTTCAAATGCCTCCATCTCAACGGTTGATGTTATGGGCAAAGAAGCTGGTTTCCGTAAAGCGGAATGCATATATTGCACTTTGCTACATTTTGTAGCAATGAAAAAATCCTTCTGCAAAAGAAAACAAAATGTTTAGAAAACTAAATTTTCCATAAAAATGTAACACAGTTAGTCTGTGCATTATAAATAGAGTATTATCTTTCTTATATATACAGGGTGTCCCGAAGTCCCATGATGACCCTTGGTGAGAACGTAGAACGGATTGAGGTGAGCAAGAAAGTCCTGTGCCGTTTTGCGATATTCGCAATAGTTTTTGAGAAATTAATTATTTTGTCTCAACAAATCAGCGTACAGAAAGCGGCAGCGGAAA